GGTGGTCAAGAACTGACGAGGGACAAATGCACACATGGGATCAGGGAGGCTTCGAGACGCTCAGTAGGTGAATCGCATCTTTTGTGAGTAGCCCAGCTTGTCCAGGTTAGGATGGCAGGCCAGCTGTACCATAGGCGGTGGCCCACAGAGCAGCAGCAGCACATCATCTGCTGGAGCAGGCAGGTGCTCCTGGATCATGTCGGCAGTCACAAAGCCCTTGCTGTAGGTCCAACCTGGAGTATAGGAAGGGAACATATGCTTCCGATCCATGTCAGCAAGAGAAGGTGATGTTTCCAGGACAGACCACTGGGAAGACCCAGAGGGGCTCCTGAGAAGGCCTCAGGTTGGAGTGGCCACTATAGCCATATCCCGCCACCCACCTGAAAAACAGGAGCCTCGAGGAGGGGGATCAGGAGATCATTTTGTCTGTGCACACAGATTTAGGATTCTGGCAGTGTCGGGGTGGGGGGGTCTGTTTTACTGAAACCAGAACTCGCAGAGGGGCAAGGTCTTGATTTAGATAATGAGGGACTATCCGGATGTTCAGAAATGACAAGATACCTTCTGGAGGATGGTCCAGAGTGAACCAGAGCTTAAACCGGTTAGGATGTTGGGCCTGCAGTTCCTCTAGGTCCTCCCGTAGGATGATGTCTTTTTCAGTCTGAAATGCAAATGGGGAAGCAGAGTCTTGGAACCCTCCGGCCCCCATCAGGAAAGGCCTTTGCTATGACAACCTTCTAACCGAGAAGGAAAGGGAAAGCTAAAGCATGCTCAGGTTCTAGGAAGAGTGAAGACCTGGCAGTGCACGTAGGTGCTAAGGATCAGGAAGTGACCTTCATTTACACATTACAAAGGAGTATTTGACCAAGAAGGCCCAGGTTCCTATGCTCAGCAGGAGACACCTCCATCTTCTCTTGCTTCCCCTGGGAGGCAGGGAAGAGATTTGGCTTAATATTAGGTCTCCTTTCCTTCTTTTCTTTCTTTCTTTTTTTCCCAGTATTTATTTATTTTTATTTTATGAGTATTTTGCCTACATGTATGTAAGTGCATTGCATGGGCGCCCATTGCTCCTGGAACCCGGGAGGGAGTGTCAGACCCTGTAGAACTAGAGAGAGAGAGAGAAGGTCGTAAGCTGCCATGCGGGGAGTGGAAACCAAATCTGCATCTTCTTCTTGCCGGTCCCCCTCTTTCCTTCTTATGGTGACAGAGAACCCTGTATTCCCAGAGGGGCTTCCGGACAGACACTGCAATAGGCACCGGGCCAGTTCTCTCTCTCAGTCCTGTCTATTCACACAGCCAACTTGAAAGTGCTGGGCCTGAGAAAAGCAAACCAACCTGGTTGGCAAAGAGCAGAAAGCACTGAGTCGGATCTTCGGGGACTTTCAGGATGGCCCGGATCAGCTGCAGCATTGGGGTGATTCCTGCACGAGGACACCGCATACATAGTGAGATGTGTTCTCCCCGCTCTGGCCCAGCTCCTTCGCTGGCCAACTCCACCATCTCAAGGCTTATCCTTCACACTCCCTGTGTTTTCCTGTTGTATCTAGTCCTAGTCCTCGGCCTCCACTTCCATGTTCACCAGGCCCTACATTTCTGGGCCTTAACATTCACCTAAGAACACAGTGTAGAAGCCCTTTGAAGGACTCAATCTAAGACACTTGCTCTGAAAGTCTCTTGGGGGTAGGAACACAGACATTATAGATTAGGCCAGATACAGTAGCACATGTCTTCAATTCCCAGCACTCTGTCATATCTCTGTGAGGACAGAGAGAATTCTGGGCCAACCAGAGCTACATAACAAGATCCTGCCTCCAAAAAAAAAAAAAAGTCATAGATCACAGACCACTACCATCCCTTCAGTTTCAATGATAAGAGTCCTGCCGGGCGGTGGTGGCACACGCCTGTAATCCCAGCACTTGGGAGGCAGAGGCAGGTGGATCTCTGTGAGTTCGAGGCCAGCCTGGTCTACAGAGCTAGTCCAGGACAGGCTCTAAAGCTACAGAGAAACCCTGTCTCGATAAACCAAAAAAAAAGAGTCCTGGAACACTGCTTATAGAGGGTAAGAACATGTTCTTTGGAATCAGGCAGAGTCAGATTCAAATCCTGACTGTGGCCATTACTAACTAAATAACCCTGTGGTAGCTGGGCAGTGGTGGTGTGCACGTCTTTAATCCCAGCACTTGGGAGGCAGAAGCCAGCCTGGTCTCATTCTGTAGAACAGCCAGGGCTACACAGTGAAACCCTGTCTCTAAAAACCAAAAAACCAAAACCAACTAAACAAAAAAACCCCTGTGGAAACCTAAGTTCTAGGAAATATCCATTTCCTCATTTGCAGATGAGAAGGGATCGCGGTTACCTGCTTACAGAGTAGTGGGTATGTAACAGATGGTGGTACTGTAGTAGTCTATTTTGTGTGATATAGAGGATTGAATCTAGGACACCCAACATGCTAGGCAAGTGCTCTTCTACCACCGTGCTCACTAAAGTGGCCAGGCTGGGCTAGAACTCTGTTTTTCTGTATGTAGCCTAGGCTGATTCTAAACGTTTTGATCCTCTTGATTCAAACCCCAAGTCGCTGGAATTACAGGCCTGTACCACCAGGCCTGGATTTTTCCTCCTCAGCTATTCATACCTGTTTCTCTCGAAGTCATTAAATCCACTCAGTTTGTGGAGAACCCTCCTGATTTATTGCTCCCATTCTGTGAAAAAATATTTTTGTTTCTACTTGCTTATGATTTCAGCTACTGGGGAAGTCTAGGCAGTGATGGGGGTCCCTTGATTAATGGCTTGTCCTCTATCACAAAACTTGAGATCACATAGGAATCTGCATAGCAAAACCCAGCAATGATAAGCAAAAGTATCCCTCCAGCAATACAGACCTGTCCCACCAGCAATCATTCCCAATTTCTTGGCCACTCGCAGTTCCGGTGGAGATTTTTTGTTGGACTGAATGTTAAAATTCCCTGAGAAGTCAAGTGAAGGGTTAGAGTCAGTTCAGACTCCGACTAAGTAAACAAACGCAGAATTGAAAACATGCCCTAGGCTGTTTTAGCAGCTGCTATGAAATCTGATCCTGGGACTTGGGCGGAGGTTTGAGTTAAACCTGCCCTGACAATTACATGTGAAGGACAGAGGGGCTGGGCTGTCTGCCTCCCATCAGTTCTCAGAGTAGGGGCACAGAAGCCACACCCCAAAGAAACCCAGTGGTCCCACACTGTCTGCAAGATTCAGAGCCAAGTGAGGGCAAGAGAAGGTGTGTGGAGCAAAGACCCTCTGGCAGAGAACTGCTCCCTGGTGAAGGTGGTAGGCATGGTGCCAGAGTGAATTTCGTTTCCCTGGTGGTCCAGAGACTCACCAGGGGGATGGCACAGTACCCAGCTGTTCCCTTGGGAAGGGCGAAAAGCTTTCTCTTTAGGTTCTTAGCCAGAGGGAAGACTCTGAGGGAGTGAAGGAGAAGCAGAGGTTTGGTAATCTCCACAGCTGGCCGCCATGGCTGGTGAACGAGGTGAAACCTGCCTTTCAGTAGCATAGGTACTTTGGGGACACAGCATGCCCACAAACAGACTGTACCGGGGACTGCAGGGACAGAAGTGAGGCAGCAGGAAGGAAAGGACAGATAATCACCTTTCCCAGCATAACTGAGCAACCCACTCGGCCCTCGGAACTCCACCACATCCCCAATCTTCAGGCTGTCCAGGTACTGCGACATCTTCCCTCCTTCAGGAAATTTGGGGTGCACACCTTTCAGATAAACCTGATGATGCAGAGAGGGGGAAAATGTGTGTGAATGTGTGTGTGTGTGTGCACACGTGCAGTGGGTGTGTTCGCACACATGCGTGTGCGCATGCCTGCCACAGCAAGGGTGGAGAGGTCGGAGAACAACCTCAGATGTTGATGTGTGTCTTTCATCTTGTTTCAGACAGGATCTTTCTTGTTCTTGAAAGGCTAGTTGGGTCCCTAAACTCCGAGTTTATGGTGGATAGTTCTCAGGCACCCATTTCCCATCTCCCAGCAGAGGCATGCTGGGATTTCAGATGCATGGGCTACTGTGTTCAGCTTTTGCATACACGCTGGAGAATACCAACTCAGGCTTGTGTGGCAAGGGCTTTACCCAAAGAGTAGGCCATCTTCCCAGCCCTGTGGTTTCTTTTCTCTACGCTTACCTTGATGACAAGATCCACATAGCCTTGGTCTTCATCACTGGTGACAGGAGTGTAAGGCCTGATGACTAGACTTCCATCAATTCGGGCAGAGAGGTAGACATGTTTGCCTGGAACCATGGGGAGAGTTACATAAGCTGCTGTGGATGTGCTGTGTCCCCGCCACCTCTCAAAAATACCCAAATCTGAGAGAAAAGGATATTTTGCTTCCCGATGTGGGTCCAAGGGACTGTCTCTCGGGGAGGATCCCTCAGCAGTAGTTCCTGCCTCCTCCCACCTGGGAAACTCCCTCCGCTACCGCCAGGATCTTAGCAGCAGCAGGTGAGCAGAGGCTTTGCACAGTGGGAAGAAATGAGTGTTTGCTGGGGTGGGAGGAGGGTTATGACGAGTCCTACGGGAAAGAGGGAGGGCTGCTGGAGGTTAGAGGTGTCTAGGGGCACAGAAGCCACACCCTAAAGGAGTGGTCTCTCACAGGCTGAAGGATTCCAAGCCAAATGAGGAAAGGGGAATGGTGTGTACAGGGAAAATAGCCAAGCAGTGACTCGCTCTCATAGGATGCCAAGGAGAGAAGCCCACTCCCTTTTCCTTACCCACAGGCAGTCCCAGAATGTGGTGGGCGGTGGGCAGGGCAAAGCGGAACCTCCTGGTGTTGTGGCTCACAGTCTAGAGGATGGATGACAAGATGTTTCATCAAGCAGGTCTGGTCTGCCAAGTCCCTTGGAGCAATCCAACCACCCCGTGGATGCTATCTCTCAAAGTAGGGGAACTTCGGTCCCCTCTCCACCCTATCCACCTTCTTCACAACGTACCGTCTTGTCTAGCAATCGCAGCAGGTACTTCTCATCCGGGTCCTGGAGAGTGACCTTCGGCCGGCGGGATCTTCGAACCAGATAGGTACCCACAGCCAGTCCGAACAGAGTCAGCAGCCCCACCCCCAGAGAGGCTAGCAGGACCGGGCTCTACGGGTAGAGGAGGAGCCGGGGAGGGGGTAGGTGGGGGACCAGGGATGAAGATTCCGAGCTCCAGCGAGAGAGAATGCCAAAGCCACAGAAGTGAGCGGAGTAGCGTCCCCAACCCGCAGCTGGTGCAGCGAGACCCCGGCATCCAGGCCTGGGCTGCCCAGCCCCGTGGAGCCGACTGCCCAGAACCAGGTGAGGCGGGGACCCCGGGCTCAGGGCACCGAACAAGGGTCTTACCGGTTGGATTCCCATGACCTAGGGCTACGTCCCGCTCCAGTGGGGCTGACAGATCCCATAATGCGCCGCGGGGCGGGCCCGGGGGCGGAGCTCTCCAGGGCGTGGTCTATGGGGGGAGGGCCCGTGTGGCCCGCCTCTTCCCTACGGATTGGGTGGTCCAAGGATGCGGTTAGCTAGGCCGTCCCAACCCACTCCTTTCTAGCTTTCTGGTCTCCTCCACCACTTACAGTACCCCAAAGGGAAGGGATGACAGTTCTGTCTAACATGGAGCCAGGCTAATTCGAGTGATAAGAAATCTTCTGGCCGGTTTGAAAACCTCATGGAAAGTGGAGTGTTGAGCCAGAGACAAGCTTAAAGTAGAACAGGAAGTCATCAGATGGCAATTCTTGGTTTTTTCCCAGCCGGTTGCCTTGCCAGACAATTGTACTGTCTGCCTGATGTTTCAGGAAGGAAAAGTGGCAGGGCAACTTCATTTCCTAGTCCTTCAAACAAAACAACTGATTCTGCTCACGACATCAGTTCATCAGATTCAGTCGAGAGGGGCTGGAAGATGGCTTCGTAGTTAAAGAGTTCATCACTCTTGTGCAGGACCCTGGGTGGGTTCCCAGCACCCATATACTAGCCCGTCTGTCATCCTAACTCTAGGGGTTCTGGTGTCCTCTTCTGGCATCCTCGGGCATGACACACACGGTGCACACACATACAAACATACATACCTGGAGGCAAAACACTCATACTCAAAACAAAAATAAAACAAATGTATTTTAAAAAGCAAGGGCTTCAAGTCAAGCTTCCCACCACGTGTGGGTCCTCACCAAGGCAGGTAATACTACACAAGAATTATGCCTCTAGCCCCTAGTGGCCCTGTGACCTTCGACAACTTACTCCATTCCTCTGCATTCTTCATCAGTAGGTGATATAGTTTGTAATCTTTGGGTATTTGGTTCATAAGGTTATTCTGAGGCGCGCTGAGATGTGCTTGTCTTTAGTGTAATGTCTGTCAGAGGGCAGAATGCTAACTGGATAGCATCACTGCTGTAAGTCAGAAGATAGCCCCAAGGCTCCATGAGGGTTTAGGACACAGCTCTGCTGACGTCGTAAACATGGAACAGGAATTAGAAATGGACGCCAGAAGCCGCTGGGGCTGCACATTTGCCAAGATGAACATGCTCTCTCACACACAAGTTTCCCAAAGAGAGTGAGTGACACTTGCTGTTTGAGTGATGGATGAAAGGCCCATACATGACACTACCGACATCAGAAATGAACACCTTCAGGGCACTGGGGACAATGAAGTCTTGGTTTCCAGTCAACTCCGAGTGATCCAAGAAAAGTTTTGTTCCCTTTTTCTGGGCTAGCTGAGAATGTCACTGGAGCCCCCGACGTCCCCACCTTGCTGACCATCACTGACCTTTTCACTGCCTGGTTCTGTCTGTAGAGGTTCCTTCCAGGTCCTCCTCCTTTTCCTGGGTGGGATGTGGCAGCAGGGAGAGATACAGAACGAGAGGAGAGGGTACTTACAGTCAAAGGGGCACACAATGAGGACCACTGGATCAGGCATGTGAGACTGGCTTATCCTGCATACTGTGTGCTCCCAACTGTCATGTCACATAGGCAGGAAAACAGGCCTTTCAGGTAAGTAGGCCGTAACCACAAAGGGCTGACAAGACCATGCCCAACCTCCATGTCTTTTGGGAGTAGCAGCCTGACTAGTATCCCATTTTAACCATCCTGTAGACCCCACAGGTCATTCCAGTCATTCCATAGGTCACATATTCACCAGGCTCGGTACTCTAATGGTGGAGCACCACTACCCTTCTCTGCCTCCTCCAAAGGAGCCTTGAAAAAGAGACCTTGTTTTGTGTGGAAGGGGGAACTGAAGCTTTCCTTCAATATCCCCCCTACAACATCATTATATTGGCTTAAACAATGATTTGACTCAGCACCTCATGGACCCCTTCTCCCTGAAAACCCTAAAAATAATAAATAGTTGGGTGCTGGGCAGTGGTGGCACAAGCCCAGCAGTAGGGAGGCAGAGGCAGAGGCAGAGGCAGGCGGATCGCTGTGAGTTCCGAGACCAGCCTGGTCTACATAGAGATCCATGTGCCTCCGCTTCCCAATTGCTGGGCTTAAAGTGTTCACCACTATACCCAACTTCTACCATATTTTTTGAGACAAGGTCAGTCAATGGACCTGGAACTCTTTGGTTACCTGTGCCTACCGGCTGCACAGTAAGCCCCAGGATCCTCTCATTTCCACTTCCTAGAGCTGGGACTGTAGGTACACACTACCACATCCATTTTTCCCCCGGGCACTGGTGAAAAACACAAGTTCTCACGACTGCCTGGCAAGCACTTGACTCACTGGGCAATTTGATTTGCTCAGCCCTTCCAGTATCATTTTTAAGCAAACCCCATGTTTCATATAATTTGCCCTTAAATATTTTAGCGAATACCTTGAAAAGATAAGGCACTAAAAAGAACCATAATGCCACTATCACACATACAATAATTGCAAATGGTTATACATTAAAGTAGGCTTTCGATGTATTATTGTATGAATTTTAGAGCATGTATAGATTTGTGTAATCACCACAATCAAGATATAGGATAATTTTTTTTTTTTTGGTTTTTTTTTTTTTTTTTCGAAACAGGGTTTCTCTGTGTAGTTTTGCGCCTTTCCTGGAACTCACTTGGTAGCCCAGGCTGGCCTTGAACTCACAGAGATCCACCTGGCTCTGCCTCCCAAGTGCTGGGATTAAAGGCGTGCGCCACCACCGCCCGGCAATATAGGATAATTTTACCACCTCTAAAGCTCTTTTGTGCTTTCTTACTTTACAGTCTCAATCCTTTGTTTTTCAGACAAAAATAGGACCCTTGTATGGCAAAGCACATCTAACCAGTTCTCATCACCTCCACTGCTACTGCTCTGGCCAAGGCATCTCCATATTTTCTGCAGATTCCTGCAGTTGCATCCTAACTAACTAATCTCATTTCCACCTCCATCCTCCTTCAATCACTTTAATAGTAATCAATGTATTGATTTAATTTAATTCACTTTTTTTTCTTAGGGGGGTATCTCACAATGTAGCCTTGGCTGACCTGAAATTTACTATGTAGACCAGGCTGGCCTCGAACCCACAGGTATCTGCCTGCTTCTTCCTTGAGTGCTGGGGCTGGCTTCCATCTGTTACTTTAGCACACTGTGCTGCTCGCTCCCCTGATAGAAAACCTCTACAGCTCCTCTGGAACACCCTCACATATCTGTCTAACATCTCTGCTCCCTCTTCAGTACGCATGCTCCTGGGGGGGGGGGGGGGGACAGTCTCTGTTTACTGATGCATCCTAAGTGCCTTGAACAGTACGAACGATAAAGAGGTAAGAAAGGGTTCTGGGAAAAATACACAAAAGAAAATGTAATCACTGCTGCTGGTAAGTGAAGAAGTCTTGCACTCCCTGAACACCAGGGAGCTAACTGTTGGGCAGACATGCCAGACTTCCCTGGTGGAGCAGACACTACAGACAACAATTCCCCTTGCCCTCCAGTCCCAGGGGGGGAATCTAGGGAGGGATGGTTCACTGAGGCTTGGATGGGCACTGCTCACACAGAGGGCCTGCATCATGGCTGAGTCATGCTAATCTAAGGAAAGCTCTGACTTTATAAGAGGACCGCTATTAAACCTGCCCAACCTCTGCCGCACGGGGAGACATTATCTTTATGATTCTGGTTAGGGAACAAACAGATCTTCTCTAGGGAGGAAGGAGAATTCTCATTGCTTCATTATCACTGGAGAGGCAGCCTCTAAATCTCTGCAGAGGGAGTTGCTGTCTTTATAAACAAACCTGCCCTGGGCCCTGGAGGAAGAGATTAGCTTTGCAGCCTGGGTCAAAAAAAAAAAAAAAGAAAGAAAGAAAGAAAGAAGGAAAGGCTGGAGATGGCTCAATGGTTAAGAATGTGGTCTGTTCTGGTAGAGGTCCTAAGTTCAAGATCTGGTTCCTAGCACCCATGTCAGGTGACTCATAAATGCCTATAACTCAACTCCAGAGAGATTTGATGCCTCTGGCCTCTGCAGGGACATGCACTCATATGAACACACTGACACCAATGCACAGACACATGACTCAAAATGATTTTTTAAAAATCGAAATAAAAAGCTGGGGTAGGGTGGTGGTGGCGGTGGCGGCACACATCTTTAATCCTAGCACTAGGAGGCAGAGGCCGGCGAATCTCTGTGAGTGCCGGCGAATCTCTGTGAGTTCAAGGCCAGCCTGGTCTACAGAGAGAGTTCCAGAACAGCCAGGGCTACACAGAGAAACCTTGTCTTGAACCCTCTCTCCCTGTCCCCCACCAAAAAAAAAAAATCTAAATGAAAAAGTAAAATAAAAAAGCCAGAGGGTTAGCAAGATGGATACTCTTCCAGAGTACCTGAGTTCAATTCCTGGTGGCTCATAACCACCTGTGACTTCAGTTCCAAGAATGAATGCCTTTTTCTGGCCCTGTGGACACCATGCATACATGTAGTTCACAGACATACATGTAGACAAAACCACCACATAAAAGTAATAAGTCAATAGGAAGTGCATGACTTTAATCTTATCTCTAGAGGCCTGGGGTGGGGGACAGAGGCAGGTGGATCTCTGTGAGCTCAAGGCCAGCGGGTTTACAGAGCCTTCCTGGGGGACACAGTCAGATAATGTCTTAAAAAAATAATGTAAGTGTATAATTCATTATTTATTTTTAAGATAGGATCTCACTATGTAAGTGGAGATCTGCAACTCACTATGTAGACCAGACTAACTTTGAACTTACAGAGATCCTCCTGCCTCTGCCTCCCAAGTACTGGGATTAAAAGTGTGTACTACCATGCTTAGCTGAATTACGTTCTTTTTAATGATGTGCACATGGTATCTCATGACATTCTATTTTTGTTTGTTCATTTGTTTTGAAAAAGAGGGAAACAGAGACTATGTAAGTGTGTGTGTGTGTGTGTGTGTGTGTGTGTGTGTGTGTGTGTGTGCTTGCCTTGGTGTGGCAAAGGACAACTTGCAGGAATCAGTTCTCTCCTTCCACCATGTTAGGTTCCAGGAGTTGAACTCAGGACATCAGGCTCAGTAGCAAGCTTTACCCACTGAGACACCTTGCTGACTTGACATTCTCTCCTTCCTTCCTTCCTTCCTTCCTTCCTTCCTTCCTTCCTTCCTTCCTTCTTTCTTTCTTTCTTTCTTTCTTTCTTTCTTTCTTTTTCTTCCTTCCTTTTTTTAAAACTAATACCAGTAACTCCAGGGTTTGGATCTCCAGAACTCATTTGTTTGTTTGTTTATTTAGGATTTACTTATTATTATTTATATAGTGTTCTGTCTGCATGTATGCTTCCATGCCATAAGAGGGCACCAGATCTCATTACAGACGGTTGTGAACCATCATGTGGTTGCTGGGAATTGAACTCAGGACCTCTGGAAGAACAGCCTGTGTTCTTAACCTCTGAGCCAACTCTCCAGCTGTTGCTGCTGCTTCTTCTTCTTCTTCTTCTTCTCCTCCTCCTCCTCCTCCTCCTCCTCCTCTTCTTCTTCTTCTCCTCCCCCCACCCCCCCCCCCCCCCCCCCCCCCCCCCCCCCCCCCCCCCCCGCCCCCGGAGCGCTTTCAAGTAATCCTAGCTGTCCTGGAACTTTCTTTGTAGACCAGGGTAGCCTCAAACTCGGAGATCAGTCTTCCTCTGTCTCCTGAGTGCTGGGATGAAAGGCGTGTGCTGCCAAGTCTGTCCCAACTTTCTTTTTCTAATGTAAAGGAGACTAAACATCGCGGTGAAAAGCAATTGGCTATACGCAGTCCTCATTTCTTTAGCTTTGAGAAAAGTTTAAAAAACAGTAGACAAAGAGGAGGAAAGACTAAAAGCCAGAGGGCATGGATGACACCAAGGAAACAGCCTTCCAGACAAAACAGGACCACGTGTGAACTCACAGAGACCCTGGCAGCACGCATAGGAACGTACAGCGCTAAGACAGATGGGGTCCCCTCAAAAAGGAAAAACTCAGTTTTCTCCAGTGCAGTCTCACTGCGTAGACAAACCACATCTAAGGGGAGCCCCGTGCCCAGCTGCCGATGGTCAACCTAAAATAAACTCAATGGCCCTTTTGGAGATGTTTCGTTTCATAATGGCTTTGGTTGATCTTTGTTTGGTTTTTGGTTTTTCGAGACGGTATTTCTGTGTTGCCCTGGCTGACCTGGAACCTGCTTTGTGGACCACGCTGGCCTCAAACTCAGAGATCTGTAGCAAGTTTTCTTGTTGGACTTCCTTGGACGACCAGCCCGCAAATAATGACACAGTGATTTATTATTAATTATGAAAGCTTGGCCTTTAGTTTTAGGTGTGTCCCCAACTGGCTCTTATTACTTAATTACAACTTATAACTGCTTCTCTTAATCTACATTCTGCCACGTGGCTTTTACCTTTCCTCAGTACAGCACTTGCTCCCCCATCTCCCTGGTGTCTCTCCGCCCCTCTCTCACCAGAAATCCTGCCTATTCTCTCCTGCTTAGCTATTGGCCGTTCAGCTCTTTATTAAACCAATCAGAAAGTGCCTGAGCAAAGATACATCTTCACAGAGTACATACATTCTGCAACCGAGATCCTTCTGCCTCTGCCTCCCTAGTGCTAGGATTAAAGGTGTGTGCCACCACTGCCCAGCTGTTTTTTGTTTTTTTTTTTTACCTTACTTGTCTTTTGCTTAGCTATTATGGTATCTGATTTTGTGTTTGTATGGGTGTGTGTGTGTGTGTGTGTGTGTGTGTGTGTGTGTGTGTGTGCGCGCGCGCGCGCGAGCATGTATATGTGTTTCTTGCACTTTTGCTTTTTCTTTTTGTCTCTTTGTCTTATTCTGGGTTGTTTGTTTATTTGGCTCTTGGTTCTCTAAAAAGAGAGAGAAGAAGGCGTGGAGTTGGATGGCTGGGGTAGTGGGGAAGTGGGGAGGAGGACCTGGGAGGAAGCCGTGTGTGTGTGTGTGTGTGTGTGTGTGTGTGTGTGTGTGTGTGTGTGTGTGGTGTGTGTGTGTGTGTGTGTGTGTGTGTGTGGTGTGTGTGTGTGTGTGTGTGTGTGGTGTGTGTGTGTGTGTGTGTGTGTGTGTGTGGTGTGTGTGTGTGTGTGTGTGTGTGGTGTGTGTGTGTGTGTGTGTGTGTGTGCGCGTGCACACACACACACATAAGGAGGCCAGAGGATGAGCTGTTGTGATGTTTTAGGCGCACTCCACCTTTGTTTGTGACATCCACCACTAATTCAGAAAATGCCCCACAGGCTGGCCTACAGGCCAGTGTTACAGAGCATTTTCTCGGTTGAGGTTTCCTCTTCTCAGATATGTCTAGGTTTGTGTGTCAATTTTTTTTTTTTTTTGGTTTTTCGAGACAGGGTTTCTCTGTGTAGCTTTGCGCCTTTCCTGGAACTCACTCGGTAGCCCAGGCTAGCCTCGAACTCACAGAGATCCGTCTGCCTCTGCCTCCCGAGTGCTGGGATTAAAGGCGCGTGCCACCACCGCCCGGCTTTGTGTGTCAATTTTACAAGAACCAACCAGTGGCGGGTTCCACTTTGGAGAATAAATTGCATAGGCACTGTATTCACAAGGAGGAGAAATTCTTGGTCAATTGATGGATTTATTTCTCTCTTCCTAGACCCAGTCCTTGCAGAAATCTCCCAGAACCTCTAATTCTCCTCTTCTTCCCCTTCCGTCCAGACTCTGATCTGTACAATTTTGATGGGGAAGTCATGAGATGCTGTCACCAGCAGTTTTATACAACTAATCTCCATCACAGAATCTTCCTCATAAAATACCATCTGGTCCAACTGACCTCTCACCAAAGGTCCGACTAAGGAATAGTGAGCACAGCGTTTGGGGTAGTCCATGGGGTCATAGCCCAGCAATATTTGCCCCTGTTGTAAGTAGTTCAACTTAGTCTGAGCAGAGCCTGTCCACACTGCTACCCGGATGACTTTCTGTGGCTTATCCAGGACCACCAGCAAGTAGTTGCCTTTTTCAGGGTTCAGGACCCATAAGCAGTCATCATTGAGAATGTAGGCATATTGTGGAATCGTATTCCAAAATGAGAACATGTCCGTGAAGACAGTACCAACAGGGTTGTCTGGTTCTCCCAAGTCTTTGTCTTGCCCCACAGGAAAGCATGTGTCTTCAAACTCAGAGTAACTGCCCATGTGGTAGAAGATGGAGGAACTGAAGTGAATGGGAACATTTTGAGACAGGAGAAGGCTGAATTCAGAGAGAAGCAAGTGAGTGGGAACGTCCATGGGGAAGAGGAGCAAGAAGGCGGTCAGGCGGGGGAGGTCCCTGGTGTGGAAAACCTTCCCAGAGATCTTCATGCTAGAGAAGTCCAGGGTCACCCAGGGGAGCTCTTCCCAGGCTAACACTGCCCAGTAGATGTCAGACACAAACCTGGGGGCACACCTCACATTATCTCCTAGCAACAGGAAGTAGTCAGAGAGATTGCTGGCAAAATTCATGAGGAGGGCAGAACTTGTTTTCTGCCTAGAATAAAGCGCTTCACAGGGTGAGGTATGATTTACGCTCTTTGCTAAGGAGCCACCAAGCAGACCGTGGACCACTGCCAGCCTCCCGGATTCAATGTGCGGCAGGAAGAGACCTGAAATGTTGGCAACTGTTTGGTTGAGCCATTCGGGGTCAGTGTCTGACAGAAGGACCAATACCAGCATATATTCCAAGTCTTGTTCTGTGGAAGCTTGGAACAGGGACTTCAGGGTGTCCAAGAGGTAACTCCCAGTGGTACGCTGCACTGAGGAGATCCCCACGGTCAGCAGCCCTGAAGAACACAGGGACACACACCCTCAGTACTTCAGCAAGGTGGGTGGGCCACAGGACTTGCTTCCCAGCCCTTCACCTAATGCCAGTTCCCAAGCCAGGTTCGCATCTGCTTCTTGTGCGAGTATAGAGTTGTGGGAGGTGAATACCTGCTCAAAGGTATGAGTCTCACTTGCTCGCTCAATACTTTGAAAGGCTCATAGGAGACGCTTCACAGAGGGTAAGGCTCTCTTTGGTATGGAACTATGTAGCTATTGCCATGTAAGCCAATTTCTTTTAGCCTGGCCTTGACCATTAGAGTTATCTTAACTACTGTGGACTACCCAGTCCTGGACTAGAGCATCCTCAAGTCCCTTTAAATCCTCCTCATGTCTGGCCAGTCCAGTTCACTGAGCTGTGCAGTTCAGTGGCTGGTGAGTTCACACTACCTTCTTTTTTGATTACCCACTTCTTCCTCCACCCCTGTCCCAGTCTTCCTGGTTCCTCTTCCCATCCATCTTCCCTTCCCCAGAAATCTGGCATGAATGAGTATCACCACAGGCTCCCTCACAGCGTCACTCTGGCCTTTTGGTCCTGCTGGGCATTCAAGGGGGATCGGGTAGGAGGGAAATGAACCGAAGTGGAAACCTGTACTGGCTGGCCCTCACTCAGAGTACCTTGCTTCCCACTAGCTGCCAGCTCAGTCCTTTAGACCCCACTCTCCTTTTCTAGGTGAAAGACACTGCCTGGCCGTTTCCAGATCCGATGGCCCCTTCCACATACTCACACCTTCCCTGGAGAGAGGTTCCAGCCAGGAATGTGTAGTTGGCATGCTGGAGTACACGGGAACTTTTCTGCATCTTGGTGAAGTATTTCAGATGGTTCTTGATTTCAGAGCTGATTTGCTCCTGAGCTAGCTGCCGGATTATTTTCTCCTTTTCACTCTGAATACAAGACGATAGATTATCAGCCCCAAGGGTGATTCTTGTGATCCTCTGGAGACAACTGGGCACGTACGTGTCCTCTTTAGGGCAGATTGGATGACCCCGGGATCCATTACATGGAATCTGCTCTCCCCTCCTGGTCATGACCTCCCGCCCCCCCCCCACCCCCAGAACTTGCCAGCCACAGCCATGTGGCCCTGGAATCCTGTAGAGTGAGAACCTGCCCACTAAGCCATTGTCCACATGTCATTTCTTTACCATGGGTCAAGCTGGCAGTCATTGTCGAACTTGACTCAGGCCTCTGCTGGGTTCTGAAAGACAGGGCCTGGCCCTGTCTGCAACGTCTTCCCCACGCTGCCTCAGCCTGAAAGTCCTTTCGCTTGCTGAGTCTCGATACACACAGCTCTGCCTCCCAAAGCCTCAGCTGCCCCGGGTGTGTGCTGAGGAGGTGGCAGCAGACAGGTGTTCCTCATCACCTGTGTCCTGCTGGTCAACACCTCCTCTGAAGGTGCCTGTGCTCTCTCCATGCCTGGAATGCCTGCTCCTCTTCCTGCCCTTCCCAAATCCTATAAGTCCCAAGTCTAGTTCAAAGGTAACCTCCTCTCTGACACTGTCTGGATTCCTCAGACGCTCTCCTTTGGCATTGCCATGATGAGCCTAGAAGGGTGGAGACACCTCTAGCCCTAGTACTCACCAGCGATGTGTTATGCTCGACACGTGCTGATTTATTCTCTCGAATAAAGAATCCCAGGATGGCTAAGGATGCCATGACTCTGATGCATCTCCACAGGCAGCCTTGCATAGTGCCAGGAGCCGCTGTGGAAGGAAGCTGAGCAGCAGTAGATCCCGAGGGCCTCCTACTCAGAGAGCAGGGGTGCCCTTCCTGCCTGGCATGCCATGTCCTGAGCCCACCCTTCCCGGACTGAGAGTTCCCAATACCTGATTATTGTCTTAACCTTTTTTCGTCCAGATTTTCTCTTGCCCCTGCTTTTAGCCATCTCAAGAAAGATAACAAACAAGAGTTTCATTCTGTGGAGGTCCTGCCCTCTCTATGCTCCCAGGGGAACTGGAGAGGATATGTTTGCAAGAAGAGGAAACAGAGGCTGTAGGTAAAAGTGCTTGCTAGCAAGCTTGATGACCTGAGTTCTATCCCTGGGATCTACATAGTGGAAGGAGAGAACCAACTCCTGGAGATTGTCCTCTGACCTCCACGTGGATGCCATCGTGTGCTTGTGCCTACATATGTGTACACACATACTTAGAGAAAGAAAGAAGTAAATTCCTAAGTGTAACATGTAGCCTGCAGGTAATAGACTTTCTGGCACTTTCCTGCTGTGTGAACTCTGTTCCCATAGACCTTTGTTTACTCTCTTAGGAGAAATGCCCTCAGCAAGATGTTTCCTCCCTCCTCCTCAGCAATGCAGCTTAGTGTGCTCAAGACATCATGTAAACAGTCCGCATTTCACCGTGAGACCTCCTGTAGCCTGAGCACATCTGGTGACAGTGATGAGAAATGGCATGTTTGCCACTATTTCTCTGTGAGCTATCTGGAATAAAAGTTTCACAGAATTCTGGTAAAGGCACTAGCCTAAGAGTCCTCTGGTTCTGTTCAATCTCAAATTCAACTTCAATTCCTTGGCAATGGCCACTGGCAGGTTGTGATAGTAATAAACTATTTTTAAAATGTGTATAGGTATTTTACCTGGAAGTACGTCTGTGTGCTACATATGTGTCTGGTGCATGCAGGGGCCAGAAGAGGGTGTTGAAACCCCTGGAACTGGAGTTACAGATGGTTGTGAGCCACTGTCTGGGTGCTGGGAATTGAACCAGGGTCCTCTGGAAGAGCAGCCAGTGCTCTTAACCACTGAGCCTGTCCAGCCCCCATAATACTTTTTTAAATGGCTAGGGTGGTAGTGGCGCACACCTTTAATCCCAGCACTCGGGAGGCAGAGGCAGGTGGATCTCTGTAAGTTCGAGACCAACCTGGTCTACAGAGTGAGTTCCAGGACAACCAAGGCTACACAGAGAAACCCGTCTCGAAAAACAAAACAAAACAAAGTTTAAATGAAGAGGAAATTTAGGGTTAAGTGTTAATTATATTCCCTCCCAAGTATCAAATTCAAGCCAACATCTTCCTGTGGGGACTAGTGATAATTAAATTAGATCTCATCTCTCAACTCCATACTTACTTTTGGGCCTGATCCTTTCCAGGATTATGTTAAGTAGATAGACAAGGTTTTGGGTGAAGTCAGAAGGACTTGGTGTGTCTACATCATGGCTGACTGCAGGGATCCATACAAACCTGGAAGAAACCAGGAATTTCTCTTCAGGACCACATCTTCACCAAGTTTCCAGTGCAAAATCCACTGAAGTCTTTCTGACCAGCAGAAAATGCTGCTTGAGGGTTAACTGGAGTAGGATTTTCTCTGAAATCAAGAAAAAACCCTTAATGTTGAAGGATGTAGTCCCAGAGTGGCTCCTCTGAGGTTGCTGTAGCTAGTCACTCCTCCCAGGAAACCTCACCTGACAACCATTGTTCAGCCTGAATGGGTGCTGTGTGTCAATCTGGCCTTACATCAGGCACCTGCTATTAGGTGAGGTGGGGACATAGTTTTAAAACCAGCCTTTCAGTCTTGTGTCTTGAAATTGGAATGTTACCTGCTAGTTTGAGTCAACAAGTGTGGATTCTGAATTATCCCTTCCTTATCAGAGGGCCCCATGAGCCGGTCAGCACTGTGTGTTCTCACCTGCTGTCTGTGCTACTTGGTGGATTACCACAAAACTGTACTCAGATATCTAGCTCTCCTAAATATCTGGCTCTCCTTTGGACTTAGAAGTGTGCAGTGACCCTCTGAAGTTTCCCTTTATTTCTTTTTATCTGTTTTTTTTTTCACCGCTGGGACTGTATTTCCAATACTACTGCTTCCCCCTCCCCCATGTGGTGGTCTGAATGAGAATGGTCCTCCTAAGATCATGTTTGAATACTTGGTCCCCAGTTGATGGAACTGTTTGGGAAGGATTAGGAGGTGTGGCCTCAACAGAGGAGATGGGTCACTGAGGGTGGGCTTCGAGGTTTCAAAAGACTGGTGCCATCCTCCATGTCTCTCTACCTCATGGTTATATCTCAAGATGTGAGCGCTCAGCTCCAGCTCCAGTCCCATGCCTGTATACCTACGGCTGTGCTCCCCACCATGATGGGCATGCACTCTAACCCTCTGAAATGCTAAGCCCCAAATAAACTCTTTCTACTATAAGCTGCCTTGGTCATGGTGTCTTATGACAGCAATAGAAAAGTAATGAAGACACTCCTCCACCTCCCCCCTTCCTTTTCCTCTTCTCCTTTTCCTTGTCTTCTTCCTCCTCCTCTCCCTCCTCCTCCTTCTCTTCCCTCTTCTCCTCCTGGTCTTCCTCAAAGCTTTATAGTGTTCATTTTTTTTACCTTTAGACTTATGATTCATCTCAAAATAATATCCATGTATGGAGTGAGGTAGATGCTGAAGTTCTTTTTCTTTTTTTTAAACTGATACCCCGTTCTTCCAGTACTACTGTAGAAAGACTCTGTAAATTCTTGTCACATCTGTTACTGAGTATGTTTGTGTCTGTTTTAGTTTCTTTGAACTATTTGACTGTCTCTACTGTTACACACATCTTCTATGCTCCCCTCAAGGTTGTAATGGTGGGTGGTTCCTGTGCCTTTTCTTACCGATGTGCAGGATGGATTTTTAGATGGAAGGCACCGTGAGGTTCTAATCCTATTTATTTTCCCCGTAGATGGCTGTATTAGTTATCTTACATGCTGGAACAAAAACGGCTAACAAGAGAGATTTAAGGAAGGAGTAAGTTTATTTTGGCTTACAGTCCAAAGGTAAATCACGGTGGCAGGAGCTTGAGGTGGCCAGTCACGTGACATCAGTTAGGACGCAGAGACAGATAAATAAATGCCTGTGCTCAGTTTGCTTTCTCCTTTTTATTCAGAGACCCAAGCCCATCGAATGGTACTGCCACATTCAGGGTAAGTCCTCCCACTGCGATTAATGTAATCTAGAAAATTCCTCACAGACATGCCCAGAGACTATTCACATGGTGACTCTGTCTTGTCAAATTGACATCATTCTGGGATGAGAAGGTGAGGGGGGTGAGAGGGGTGAGGGGGGTAAGGAGGGTAAGGAGGTTGGGGGGGGGAGGCACATGCCTTTAATCCCAGCACTCAGGAGGCAGGTACAGGCAGATCTCTGTGAGTTTGAGGGCGGCCTTGTCTGCAGAGCAAGTTCCAGGACAGCTAGGGCTACACAGAGAAACTTCGTCGGGGTGGGTGGGGGGAGATTAACCATCACACAGGTCACGGTAGCACATGCTCCCAGTCAGAGGAGATGTAAGCCAGAGGTATTTTCAGTGCTGCTACAGCGTACTTCTTGTATCTCACAGATCGACTTCTCCATATGGGTTGGGGAGAAATGCCCCCATAGTTCCCATTGACCTTTCCTTCTACAGGACACTATGAAGGGTCAACTGTATCCTCATTGCTCTAGTTGGCACCTGGGCTACAACTTGATTCCCATTTTAAGTTACTTTTGCTATCACCTCAGCAGGTCTTGGTATCATGTCTGGTGATGTGATCCAAGCCTATATTCCAAAAGAGTCTGAATCTTTGTCAATGACCCCTTTGAACTGGGCTTGCTGCATGTATCTATACCTTCACACAACGTACAAATATTCCACAACTGGACTTAAATACTTTGATAGCTGGACCTTGGTGGTTAGCCTCAGGAGGAAGAAGTAGCCAAGTTAAGGGAATAGGTTAGCTTTAGTGTCATAACCTAACAGTTAGGTAAGGAAGGGTGTTGCAGAACATTATTTTAAGATGTGTTACATTTGTTTATGCTGTGGAATATTTGTTTAATGATGCAAAGATGTGTTGCATTCTTTTATGTTGCATTTGTTTAACTCTGTGAAGATGTGTTACTTTGCCTGTCTAAAACACCTGGATTGGTCTAATAAAGAGCTGAATGGCCAATAGCAAGGCAGGAGAAAGGATAGGTAGGACTGGCAGGCAGAGAGAATAAGAAATCTGGGAGAAAAAAGAAGGAAGAACAGAAGAACAAGGAGAGGAAGATGCTAGGGGCCAGGCACACAGCCACACAGCCAGCCATGGAGTAAGAATGAAAGTAATATTCAGAAGTAAGGAAAGGAAGAAGCCCAGAGACAAAAGGTAGACAGGATAATTAAAGTAAAGAAAAGCTGGCAAGAAACAAGCCAAGCTAAGGCCAGGCACTCATAAGTAAGAAAAGGCCTCTGTGTATTGAAGGTGGAAGTTTCTATCCCACCAGGAACTCCCAAACACCCAGCAATTGCTTCCCAAATTACCACACAGAGGTTTATATTAATTACAAATTGCTCAGCCAGTAACTCAGGCTTATTACTAACTAGCTCTTACACTTAAATTAACCCATAATTCTTATCTATGTTTAGCCATGTGGCTTGGTACCTTTTCTCGGTACAGCATTCTCATCTTGCTTCCTCTGCATCTGGCTGGTGGCTCCTGACTCTGCCCTTTCTCTTCCCAGCATTCTTAGCTTGGTTGCCCCACACATACTTCCTGCCTGGCTACTGGCCAATCAGTGTTTTATTAAACCAAGTCGAGTGACAGATCTTACAGTGTACAAGAGGATTATTCCATAGCGGTGTATTTATTTGGGAGCTTGGTGGCAAGCGCCCCCCAAGAGTGAAAGAGACAAGAGTAAAAAGCAACCAACAACATTTTGATGTACCAACATGAGGCTCTAGAATTTCCATGTAGGGCCTGAGAAAGCTGGGGTGGGGAGGAAGAGGATACGGCTCCTTTAAGAGTTTCTGCCTGCTGGTGAGCCCTTGAGTAGCCAGCCAGTAAGCTAAGTAGTAACAGAAAACTAAGTAAAAACGCCCGCCACAGTGCAAGCACTGGCGTTCTAGAGCTCTAAGAAGGTTGAATGTAGGTAGTTCTTGGTCACCTACCTCCAACCTGGCCACCAGCTTCTTCTGGGTCTTTGATGGAATTGAAGACTAGATAGTTATAGTTGCAGTTTTTTCTAGTTATGGTAGAAAGTAAGTTAGGTCTAAAACTTTGAATTCACTAAGATAGGATAGATAATGAATTATTTTCTCTGAATATGCTAACTATCAATATACAGAATATTGTAAATGTAATTCTTACTTGATAACTGTTTTTGTTGTGTGTAGTTTTACCATGTTAAAGTTAAAACCTTTCTTTTTATTTAGACAAAAAGGGAGAAATGTTGTAGAATATTATTTTAAGATGTGTTACATTTGTTTATGCTGTGGAACATTTGTTTAATGATGCAAAGATGTATTGCATTTGTTTAACTCTATGAAGCTGTGTTACTTTGCCTATCTAAAACACGTGATTGGTCTAATAAAGAGCTGAATGGCCAATAGTGAGGCAGGAGAAAGAATAGGCTGGCCTGGCAAGCAAAGAGAATAAATAGAAGGAGAACTCTGGGAGAAAAATGAAAGAAGAGCAAGAGAACAGGAGAGGAAGATGCTAGGGGACAGTCACCTAGCCACAAGAGTGAAAGTAAGATATTCAGAAGCAAGGAAAGGAAAAAGCCCAGAAGTGAAAGGTAGATTATTGGTGAAATTATTAAGGCCACTCCACGTAGTTAAAAGGAGATTTATTTGGGGCTGGAGAGAT